GGCTGTTCAGATAAGATGAGTCATCAGATCAGAAATTTCAGGCAAAGAAAGGATTGGAGAAAATGAACAATAATGTAGAAGAATGGAGTGTGTCAGTGGCTAGCTTTTAAATGGTACGTTTGTTCTGTGACATTGCTGAGAAATGGCTGGTTTGCCAAAAGTGAAGTGTGCAGGTGCTGATCACGTGGGCGGGGGTCGGAGGGCGGCTCCTTAGGATGCTCGGTTGCCTTGGACAGTGGCGCCCGAGAGGGACATTCCCACCAATACAGGTTCGGGTTGACTGGAAGGCAGATTTCTATTAGTGAAGGTCAGTTAGGACCCTGTGAGCTGATGGCCTAGCCTGAAGGTCATTGGGTAAGCAGCCAGCGCCGGGATGGATCCACCACATGCCTGCAAAGGGAGCCCGAGGTGGTCCTGCTTCTAAGAGTCTAGAGAAGAGGTGGGGTCCCTCAGTCGCAATTTGAAAGTGTTCATTCAGAAAGACCCAGACCTGGTCCAGCCCGTGGGCCGCTAGCCTGCCGTCTCTGATCCCAGATGAAAGCCCAGGATATCTTTCCACTGGTTTTGCGCTCTGCTGTATGGATGACGCGTGTTACACACCTAGTGTGGTGGCCGCTAATTACAGCTGAGAATGAGTTACTGATGCATTGCATATTGTCGATACTATAATAGAAATATATTGCTGTATCGTTTAGCTAGTATGACTAATTATTAATCAGTTATTAATTATGCTGTTAATTGATGACTAATTGTTGATTAGTTATTGTCTATGCTGTTTGGGGTTATCTGGTGCTAAACAACCTTTGTAAGAGTGCTCAGGGCGTGTCAGGGCCTTGGCAGAGTGGGGGCCTCTGGCAGTACAGTGAGGACCTGTCTCGAGAGCCAGGCTCAGTTCCCCGGGGCCGAGAGGAGGCTTGTCAACATCTGCGGTGATTTGCTGAATTAGGGCTCTGGAAGAAAATGGCAAAAAACAGCCATGCAGATGTTTTCCTCAACGCTCGTCAGCTGTTTCACAATCCAGAGTTCGTGTGCGGTGTCCTTTCATGCAACTCTGGTGTGAAAAGGGAAGCGTTTAGGGGGATAAGCTAGAAAATGCAGGTCATCCCCAGAGAAGTTTCTGCATCGGCCTGAAGATGTCTCAGAATTTAAAAAATGACTAAAAATCATCTTGGAGTCATTTTTATTCATGGTCCCCGTCTATACACACACACACACATCTAGATCTTACATAGGTGTCTATATTTCTTTTCTGAAGTATTCAGTATTTCCTATTGTCTCAGTGTTTGTATTAGTCAGGGTTCTCCAGAGAGAACCAAAAGGATATATATAGAGACAGATATATGTTAGACAAACATAGATATTTTAGGAATTGGCTCGCACAGTTAATGCGACCAGGTCATTTGCCCTCTGCAAGCTGCAGGGCAGGAAAGCTGTGTGTAATTCGGGTGCAGTTGGAAGGCCTGAGGTCCCTCCGGGCTGGTGGCGTGGGTCCTGGTCTGAACCAGGAGCGCTGGGCATCCGAGGGCAGGAGACGGGCGGCTCAGCTCAGGCAGAGAGCCGGTTTGTCCTTGCTCTGCCTGCTGGCTGGGCAGTGCCCACCCGCCCTGGGGAGGTGAGCTCGCCTTGTCTCAGTTTACCGATTCCAATGCTCTTTTCTTCCAGAGACGTCCTCACCGCCTCACCCGGAAATCATGTTTTGCCAGCCACCTGGGTACCCTTTCAAGCTGACACATAGGATTACCCTGTGCTTTTCGTTAGATCAGTGTAATTTTAGATCACAGTAAGGTTGATTTGTGACTGGAACACAGAGATAAGCCCGAACCTCTTCGGGCTCTTTCTACGTTGTTGAGGGAAAGGCAGCAGGTTCCGGTCTGTCTCTTTTCATTGTTGTTCAGTTGCTCAGTCGTGTCTGACTCTTTGCGATGCTGTGGACTGCAGCACGCCAGGCCTCCCTGTCCATCAACATCTCCCAGAGTTCACTCAAACTCATGTCCATCGAGTCAGTGATGCCATCCAACTATCTCATCCTCTGTTGTCCCCTTCTCCTCCTGCCCTCAATCTTTCCCAGCATCAGGGTCTTTTCCAAAGAGTCAGCTCTCTGCATCAGGTGGCCAAAGTATAGGAGCTTCAACTTCAGCATCAGTCCTTCCAATGAATATTCAGGGTTGATTTTCGTTAGGATTGACTTGTTTGATCTCCTTGCAGTCCAAGGGACTCTCAAGAGTCTTCTCTAGCACTCTTTTCCTACAAATATAAAATAGACAAGAAGGTCCCAGTGCAAATCTGTGGTGAAATGAAACCTCCAAAGTGTTGGGGGGCCATGCCACCTGGCTCTGTCCTGGAGCACTCTTCCCAGAGACCAGTTGGAGGGAGCTGAATAAGAAGTGGGGATGGCAGGATTCCACCCGGTGCTCATGGCCTGAGAGGTGGGTCCCCTTGGCTGAAAGCTGTCTCAGAACCACTGGGTGTTCACATCAGCTTGCCTCTGAAATACTTGGTCATCTGTCTTGGAGAATGCATGGCAATTACAGCTGCTAGCAAAAATTTCTGGAACAGAATGGGCATTTTGTTCCCGTTGTTGAGGTTCTGGAAACATTTGGAAGGAAACGTCACTCCATACTTCTCCATCTATTTATGCATTGTCAGCCCAAAGAAATGATGTTTTCGGCCCTATACCTCCTTGTCCATTCCCTTGGGCTATCCTGTTGATGGTGGGAGATATGGGGTAAGCGATTCTGACCCCAGCTGTATCATATTTGCATAGCAAAGTCCACATTATAATGTGATTTTGCTTTTAATTGCTCAGGGTATAGAGAAAATCCGCTTCCACCTTGTGTCAATTTTAACATCCGTGTCTGCATTGGCAAGAAAGGGGGCTTCGACCAGTGGTCATCGGTGTTAGGTACCAGCCTCCTTGGTGTCTTTCTCTCTTCATCTGCAGCAGAATTCAACCCACTTGATCTTGTGTGTGCAGGCTGCCTAGAACTGTTGACATGTCTGATTGGGAGCTTGCAGGGGCTGGGATGTGAGCGGGCGCTTGCAGGATTGGGGTCTCAGTGGGAGCTTGCAGGGGCTGGGGTGTGAGTGGGCGCTTGCAGGATTGGGGTCTCAGTGGGAGCTTGCAGGGGCTGGGGAGTGAGTGGGAGCTTGCAGGGGCTGGGGTGTGAGTGGGCGCTTGCAGGGGCTGGGGTGTGAGTGGGCGCTTGTAGGGAGGGGGCTGGGGTCTGAGTGGGCTCCTGCAGGGGCTGGGGAAGTGAGAACCTGGGAGACGCAGGTGTGAAGCTGACGCCCCACCCAGGCTGCTCTGAGCTGCCACATGTGCTCGGCGTGTGCAGGGATCGCTCTGTAAATGGAGGCGTTTCTTAGAAAGAAGTGTGTGATGGATTTGGAGAGTGTTCTTGTTTCAGAAACCTCATGTCCAAAATGTACTGTGAGAAGCCTTTTCTGGAAAAGCAGTTAGCATTCCGCTCTCCTTCTGTGTCTAACCCAGGGCGTGTGTTCCAGGCTCCCTGTGTCCCCTGTCCCAGCCCTGGGTCAGCCTGCCCCCTCAGAGTTCTGGCTCCTCTCCTTGGAGAACAGTGTTTAGAAGCCAAGATGTGGGAACTCGGCGTGCTCGCTGCTACAGACCTGTCACTGTTGCTGGACTTCCCAGCCCGGCCGTGCCTGTTACCGAGACTGACCTCGCTCATCCGGGCTCAGTTCCTGCCTCTGTCACCTGCAGGGCGATGTGTCTAGAGGTCTGGAAGCACCCCCTCGGGAGGCCGTGTGGGACTTTGGAAGCAACTGAGTGCGGATGTTGGAGGAATTCGGACTCACTTCTCACCCACTGGGAGCCCCCGTGTCTTCCCGTAAGGTGGGGCCGCACAGTGACCCTCCCTTGGTTGTAGTGGAGGCTGGATGACAAAAGACAGCTCTCCCGCTCCTACCTATTTGCATCACAGCCTAAGGGGATTTAAGGCAAAGTTGTTGCTTCTATTACACCACTGTCTTGCCGGTTTTGATATTATCTTCTTAATTATTCCCTGTTTTTTCGTGTTGTTCTTTACAGTCTTAGTTGGAAATTCTGAGAGGAAGATGGCACTGCTATTAAGCAACAGTGGCAGGAAGTGGACATCCTTACTGAGCCCTCAGTGAGCGGGCGGGATGCTCGCAGGCCTCTGTCTGGTGGATTAGAGTCTCTGCGGCTTCTGTGCCTCTGCTTTCTCTGGAGAGAAGAGGGACCCAGTTAGTTTCAGCTCCCGAACGGACGTCATCCACCTTCAGAGCAGCTTCGCAGTCTCTCCCACAGTCCAGGCGAATTGCAGCCACATCTGGCCCGTCCAGCTCCAGTATTTTAAGCCCAGACCCACAAGCAGCCGTGGGACTGGCGGGAAGGGGAGCACTGCTGTCTTTCAGCAGGCCGGGTTTCGTTCTGGCGTCTCCCAGAATTAGGTCACAGCTTCGGAGCCGTCACACGTTCCTGGCTTCACAGGTTCCCGCTGACATTTTAGGGATTTTACTATGTATATGAGACGGTGGGACCCTGCCACCCAGCTGGGAATGCAAGGTGCTTCTTTCTGTCTGTTTGCTTTGGGCTCTGAAATATGATCTTTATGGTGCAGTTAATTCAGAGACGCCCCTAAAGGCCCCTGGAGGTCGGTGTCACGTGGTAAGGCTGATGGGGATGCTCTGGGCTCACCCCGCAGGGCCTGGGGCTGCCGTTGGTCTGGACGTTCCCCCATCAGGTGTCATGATGCAGTGGCGTATGCTGGGGAGCTGTGGCTGGTCGTTGTGAGTCCAGTTTGGATGGACACCACTGGATGTCTCGTGGGCTCCAGAAGCCGCCTTTTCCTTCATGATTTCTGCACTGTTTCTGACGAGGGTCGTCATAAATTCAATACAAAGTAAGGGAAACTAACACCCTGTGTCCAGTCCAAGCTCTTACGCCTGGACCTTCAGGCCTCAGGGTCGTCACAGGCAGTGGACAGCCGTCTGCTGTTCACACGCTCTGTCCTCTGCAGGTGTGGGGTGAGCTCATGGCGCCTGGAACGGGCTCACCGTCAGTACCGGCTCTCTGCCCTCCCACGCAGGCGTCCCCGCACGGCCACCTTCACCAGCCGCTGTGTCTTACACAGTCGGTATTTGGAAGCAGTCCTTTGAATTTTTCTCCTGGCATCAGATGGGTGAGCTTTATGACAGATGCTTACCAGGGCAGTTAGTTGATTTGTTCTGTTTTGTTTTGGGCATCTGTGTTCCAGGTTTCGAGCATGCATCAAGTCTATCCCAGTGATAACAGATACTTTTTTCTTTAAGTAGTTTAAGATCCCAACCTGATACACATTGCCCTAAATGTTTTATAGGATGATTTGTGCTTTCATCAAGTGGCTATTATGTGTCTTATTTTGACCCAATTCCAGTGCTCTGACTTGGGGAACCGCTGAAATCTGAGGATGTGAAACACTGCAGACTCTTAGATAATGTTTATCTCCCCTTTGCTAATTGAGCTTCCCTGCTTTCAACGCTTTCACTCCGGGTCAGCTGCCTTTGTCTCAGTGCTGCTCAAACGTGTGTGCTGTGAACCTGGAGAGCCAGCAGCGGCCGTCTTTGGCTGGTGCCGGGGAGAGAGCCCAGGGACCGATAAGGAGCACTCCAGGGAAAGCTGCCTGTGCAGCGATGCTCTGCAAAGATTCCTCAAGGCTCCTGTTTTCCTAACAGAAGGTGCACACGGAAGCACTCAGGTTACAGCCACGTAATTCAGGAAGAACTGAAGGAAGAAAAAACACACGCATCTTTATGCTGCAGGTGTTGCCAGACCTCGAAGCCAGTATCATCCTTTTAAGTTGGGAACCCCTAAGGTCCCATGCGTGCCAAGTCGCTTCAGTCGTGTCCGACTCTGCGACCCCATGGGCTGTACCCTGCCAGGCTCCTCTGTCCATGGGATTCTCCAGGTGGGAATACTGGAGTGGATTGCCATGCCCTCCTCCAGCGGATCTCCCCAACCCAGGGATCGAACTTGCGTCTCTGAAGTCTCCTGTGTTAGTAGGCAGGTTCTTTACCAGCAGCTCCATCTGAGGGATCGAACTTGCGTCTCTGAAGTCTCCTGTGTTAGTAGGCGGGTTCTTTACCAGCAGCTCCATCTGGGAAGCCCTGAGGTCCCGAGCAACTATCTTTCCAGAGTCCTGCCCGTGTCCCCCTCTGAGGGGCCGAGGTGTCGTGGCTCCACGCCCACCCTGTCTCTGCAGACTTGTGAGCTGGGAGATGAGTTGTCCTTTCTCCGCACCCCCAGGGGCACGTCCCCCGCTCCGCCGGGAGGGCTTGCTGGACATCGGAGAGGCTGGGTCCCTGGCATCGCAGCGGATGGTAGGGCAGCCTCCCACCCGCCGGGGGCCGGAAATCCTTTCTCCCATGGATGCATTGTGTCATTGTGCCCCCGTCAGCAGCCACTGCCCTCGCTGTGGGGTTTTATTTTTGTGGCTAATCCTGAGCTGCTCACAACAGCGTGCTTCCCATTTGATGCGCTCCTCCCCAGTGCGGTGCAGCCCTGCTTACCCCCTTTTCAAAATTTGGGTTTCATCTCTGACTTTCTAAGATTTCTTCTGGGCTTCCCTGGTGGCTCAGCAGTGAAGAATCCGCCAGCCAGCGCAGGAGATGCGGGTTTGACCCCTGGGTCGGGAAGACCCCTGGAGGAGGAAATGGCAACCACTCCAGTACTCTTGCCTGGAGAATCCCATGGACAGAGGAACCTGGTGGGCTACAGCCCATGGGGTCGCAAAGAGCCGGACATGACTTAGCATATACACATGCCACTGAAGTTTAGCATATGTATTAGATTCATGAACATTGAACATTGTCATTCTATAACTTTTCTTGCTTTGTCGTGCAGCGCGGTTCACGGTGACAGGGGCGGGGCTCGGCTGGAAGCAGGCCGTGCTGTGTCCACCTGGCGGCGCAGGAAGGCGGCCCGCACCTCAGTCCCCGGGCTCCGCTGGGAGCAGGGTGCCGTGTGCCGGCCGCCGCGGGTCGGCCCAGCCCAGGCTCTGCTGCGAAAGAGCTGAAGCGGGCAATAGCTTTCAGCCCTTTATCCGGTGGCGACCTTTTGCTGTGTGGGACTTCCCGCTGCAGGCTGGCATGACTTCATCCTTTGCAGAGTGTACGGCTGTCCCCGCTCCGCCTGCCGCTTGCTGCGGGCACTGCTGGATCGTCCCCCTCGCTCCCTGTCCCTCGGAGGCCCGCGCCCGGGGCTGCATGGTGCCCAGGCCGGCGGGTGGGCACACACACTTCTCACACTGCCCCGCCGTCCTGACCGGCGTGTCGGCTGCTGGGCTGAGCCTCAGGGATCTGCCGAACCTGGTGTTCAGTAGCTCGGGCTGAAATTGATGTAAAACGCTGGGTTCCCTAACAGATACACACTGGTATGTATAACGTGATCCACTCGGCCTGCGGTCCAGCACGGGGAACTCCCCTCAGGGCCCCGCCATAACCGTATGGGAGAGAGTCAGAGAATGGATACGTATGTGTACCTGAGTCACTTACCTGTACGTCCGAACCTAGCGCAGCGTTGTAAATCAGCCACAGGCCAACAGAAATAAAAGCTAAATTTTAAAATAAATGCATTTACAGAAGGGCAGGTTCAGCCTGCCGGCAGGATGAAGTGCTACAGGGATGCACTCAGGGATTCAGAAATGAGCCTTCAGGCCGCGCAGCCCCGGTCTGACGGACAGGAGGTGGAGGCTCACGCGGCCTCTCCCGTTTCCCGGGGGGCGGGGCGGGGCGGTGTTGCCTGTGGCCCCTTTGTGGACGGTTGGCTGAGCTGTGCCCGTCATTGCGGTGGCTCTGCGGGTTCCCAGCAGTCCCCTCTCTCACCCGAGTGTGAGCCGCTCACGCTGGTCGCCACGATCTTCGGTGAATGCATAGGTGTGCATGCATCACTCGTGTGCTCAGGGCCTTGAGTTCACTACACGGACGCTGACTGCTCAACTTTGCTGAAGGAGGTCGCCATCTCCGCATCCGGCAACCGTCTAGCTTCTGAGACCTGGTGTTTGGAGCCACATTGACCCTCGGAGCGGTTGCGGACTCGCCCCAGGCCTTTTGTGAGTCTGCTGGTGGCCTCCAGCAGTGGGGGCAAGTGTNGGTGGGGGTGGGGAGGGACGCAGGGGGTTGGGGGAGGAGAGAGATAGGCTCAGGGAGACGGAGGGGAATACACTAATATATTGGAGTCAATGGACAGAGGTAGCAGGTAGAAACAGTTTCTCTTATAAAAAAGGAACACTCGGGGGCTGAAAGGATTAATTCCTGGGAGTAGAGGTGCCGCCCCTCCACCTGTCGGAAAGGTGGGCGTGACCGGGCGCCCCCCAGACGCTCTCACCACTCACCCTCCCGGCCCTCTCGGGAATCAGGGGCTTGGCCATGGAGGTGGGCTGCCGCGTGGTGGGGGCCGACCTCGGTGTCTGCAGTTCCAGGCAGCCCCGGCCTTTGATTCGGCTCCCACAGCGGGTGGAAGGAGTGGTGCCCCGGGAACCACAGGCGCATTCTGGAGCCCTGAGAACTCCCGCCTGTGGTTTGCGGCTCCTTCAGCGTCTAAGAAGGACCAGAGTCTGGGGGCCCGCGACCTCAGATCCCTGAGAAGTGTGGCTTGAGTGCCAGCTCCGGGCTGGGGCTGGATTCCTGCTGGGGGAGGGCGGCCCGCCTGTGGGCACGCCGTGTAGCGCGCACAGCTGTGGGCGCGCCTCGCTGGCAGCCGCGGTGGCTGATGGCCTTCGGAACTTCGCCTCTGCTGCGGCGTCCGCAGGTGCGCTGGCCCTGGGAACTCTCTGCCCTGCCCTTTTTTTGAAAGAATAGTAACTTAGCTGCTCAATTTTGGGTTTTCCTGGATCCATTGTTAGGAATGTATTTTTAGTTGGTCATGACACAGAGAGCCCAAGATTATATTTCTTTGCAGTTTATAAAATAACCTACTAAGTATTTATAAGGAATGATCTGCAAATACTTAATTTCAACTATCAACTTCACATTTTCATGAAATACGCCATGGGATAAAACCTTTTATTATCCCGCCCAAGAGGCAAAATGTAGGTTTTCATTCATTCCATTCAAGAGGTGACATCGGTTCCATTCTGATGACAGAAGACTGCAAAGCCGCTCATTTTACTGGAGGTTTCAGAGTGGGTTGCAGTGGCGAGCTGGTCCAGCCTCTCTTGATGATGTGCTTCGCCCTTGACAAGATGCTCAGGTGGTTTTCCCAGCACTTACTCATCACACGGAGCTCGCCCATCTGAACGTCAGGTCCAGACCTTGAAGTGCCAGATCATGTATGACAGCATTCCTGGAGCTCAGAGGTCGTCCGAGACCCTCTGCTTGCCTGGCCCAGGTGGTTTGCTCTGCGGCTTGGAGCAGAGAAGGACACACGGACTCCTCTCTAGCTGCAGGGCATCCACTGCTTTTCTTAGTGTGAGTGCTTTCCGGGCAGGTTTGAAGCACACACAGGGTTTAAAATCCAGAGGAATCTACGTGCTGGGGAGCCGAGTCACTGGTTCAAGTTCAGATTCACAATTTCGAGTGTAAACCTCTGGCCCTCTCACTGTGGCGGGAGCTGTCTGACGGCCGTGGGATCTGAGGGGTCTGGGACAGGGGGCCCTTGGGGTCTGCCTCAGGAGTGGGCAGCACTGTCGTGGACTCTTGGCCACACTTGAACTGAAACATTGGTTTTAGGAGGGGCTTCCCTGCCTGCAATATGGGAGACTTGGGTTCAGTCCCTGGGTCAGGAAGATCCCTAGAGAATGAAATGGCAACCCACTCCAGTATTCTTGCCTGGGAAATCCCATGGACAGAGGAGCCTGGAGGGCTAAAGTCCATGAGGTCACAAAGGATCAGACACGACTGAACGGCTAACACACGCACGCTGATTTTAGAACCCAGTCCTTGATCAGAGAAGGGTGTCCTGCAGAAGACAGACTGGTGGGGGGAAGTCACTGAGACTGGAAAATTTGGAAGGACAGCTGGAAATAGAGACCCTTCACCTGGAAATTCCAGGCAGGTGATGTTAATTAGAGCAGCCGAATCAGGAGACATGTGTTTCCCCTGAAAATGTATTGTTTATGCTTTCCTCCCCATTGTGTAAACTCAGACCCTCGGGTCAAGTGTGCGGAATTTCCTCTTCTTTGTACAGTAGCCTGGCTGTGGGCTGGAAAGGATCTCAGAAGTTGTTGATCTCTGTGTAATTTTGTCCAAATAAAGACTAGAATTCAGACTGAGGAGCAGAGGTGACTTAGATCCCAGAATCCTGTACTTGAGTTCTGCACACACAGGGAGCTTGTGAAAATGACTTTTGTTTTCTGATTCACTGTAAATGCATCAGGGCTTCCCAGGTGGTGCTAGTGGTAAAGAACCCACCTGCCAATGCAGGAAGTGTGTGAGATAACGGATTCGATCCCTGGGTCGAGAAGGTCCCCTGGAGGGGAGGGCATGGCAACCGACTCCAGTATTGTTGCCTGGAGAATCCCATGGACAGAGGAGCCTGGAGGGCTACAGTCCATGGGGTCACAAAGAGCCGGGACATGACTGAAGGGGCTTAGCATGCAGAAATGCACGTGGAAATGCACGCAGAAATGCAGAAAGGCCTGTGTGGCAGCCCAGTTGCCTGGGAGGCGGGCCTGGTTTGAAGTCCACCTTCTTGGTGCCGTCAGAACTGCAGGAAGATCTAGGGCCCTGGGTCTCTGGCCCCACTCCCCAGCTCTGTGATGCTGGGCCTCGGAGAACGGTGGGGCACCAGTGCCTTTGTGGGAGAGACCTTGGCCATCTACCCACATCTTGTGTCTTCCATCTTGGCTTAGGAGAGTTGAGGCTTCGGTAAACTTCAAGGGATTGTAGGAGACACTTGATTCCTAGGCTGGGAAGGTCCTGGGCTTTAGAACAAAGACGAAGTCCTGGGGCTTTCCCTGAATATAAGAAAGGGTCACGCTTCAGAAGAACATAACCAAAAAAGCAGGAAGCAAGCAGGTCTGCAGATCTGATAGGTGGAAAGAGAGCGAACATGAGAATTGTTTTCAGAGAATCTGGTGTCAGAGCCTGACGGTGAGAACTGGACTGTCAGTTTCTAGCAGGGGCCGTGCTTCCTGGGCGGGTGCGAAGGGGGCTTGGTGAACCAGGGAGGTTTGTGGTGGGCAGTTGATCTCCTGGGGTTGGCCCAGTTCTCAGCAGGGAGTGTTACTGGGTGAACTTTGAGGTTAGGAGGAGAGAGAGCGGAATGTGTGAAAACTTTTTTCCCCCCGCCACCCACAGTTTTCCTCATTGTGGTAAGCTTGGCCTGCCATACGGTTTACCACGCTGACCACTTTGGAGCATCCAGGCAGTGCCTTTACATCCTGTGGCCTAGCTCTGTAAGCGCTTCATCGTTTCAAACTGGAACTCTGAAAGCGTCACACAGGAGGATCTTGATTCTCTGTGTCACGTGAGACGCACGCAATCTGCACTCACCTGGGGATGGGTGTCTTGTATCCCCCGGTGATCTTGGTTTGTATTAGACATGAAGGCTGAGGATGTCAGGTTTGGTGCGCTATGGCCCGTCCTCGGTGGGCTGTGGGCGTGGGGGAGACGGAGGCTCCTGGCTTCAGGCTTCGGGACGGGCACTTGAGACTGGGTGGCCCGGTGACCCAGTGCCCAGGACAGTGGCATTCAGTGACTAGACGCAGCTGCTCATCTGCCACGTGGAGAAGATGGAGCCCCTGGGAACGTGACGCCTGGGTCTGTGGTCCCCCCGGCGGGGCTTGTCCATTGACAGTAGTTGGCCCCAGGTTTCTGTGGCCATTAAATTAGCAGAGTTGCATTAGAATGTCTGCCTTCTTTTGATTTAAAATCATATCATTTCTCACAATCCAAGCACATTCTTCAGGGTTTCTTTTGCTTTCACTTTTTTTTTTTATGAACCCCAAATGTGAAAATGGTTCACAGGCGACTGGGCCATGATTTTTTCCTCTGCTTGGCCGTGCGGTGAACTGTTCCGGTAAAGACAGGGTCTCATTTTCAAAGAGGGTAGGTTTGTGCCGTTCCAGCTTCCTGTCTAGTCCATGGAGTCAAACTCAAGAGGAAAGATGGACCATTTTGATCCTTTGACTCCTTAGGCTAAAACGAGATTTCCCATCACATGCTTTGCTCCACCTAGATTTTACAGACAAGCCTTTTTTTTTTTTTAAAGCAGTATTGTTGGTGAAATGCTTTCAAGCAGCTTGTTTATCTTTGAACGAAGCTTAGAGTAAACATGTCATGTTAGATGGGAGAGTGGCTTGTACAATCAGTGATGGAACCACCTAATTAGGGTCCTAGCTGAAAACAATGCACAATGATGAAGGCTGGGCAGAGGGTGGAGGAGAAGGAGGAGATGATGGTTTGTCCAGAGAAAAATAAGATCTGGAGAGGATGCTGGGGCAGATCTGGGAAAGTGCGCAAAGTAACAGGGTGGAAAAAGCCCAGCTGTGTGTGGTTCTGAAAGTGGGGTGAAGGCTAAACCTCTCAGAGCAGACTCCGGGGGCCACGATGGCTCACTCAGGGCCCAGGGAACCCCCAGAGCCTGGTGGAGGCCCCGCGCTCAGGTGGCAGATGGAGGATTTCAGTGTCTCATGTCCCCGTCCCGAAATCCTCCTGCCACACTCTGGGTGCTCAGGGTGCTGGTGACTGTGAGCCAATATCTTGGTTGATAGATCCAGGCGGCAAAATCCTGTGTACATTTTCCATTTTTAATGCTATGGGATGCAAGTAAATGTACCTACCACTCAAACCATACTGAGCATAACATAATCTTACTTTTTCCAAGATATTTAATGATTTAAGGATTTAAAAAAGATATAGCTTGGTACCCACAGTGTATTCGTTTTCTTTGTATGGTGAGATAACCGAAAGCTTTAGTTGATCTAAAATTGAAATCTGTGGCTGGTAAACTAGTATTATTTATTAACTTATTTATCACTCACATCAGCTGGTAATTCCAGACTGTATTTTTACTAGAAAGAAGGTAGATGGCTGGAATAAGCAAACTGAGGTATAAAGATTCAAAGTATATGTCACTGTTTAAATTAATCTGTGGAGTTTGGGTATTTTGGGGTACTAGTGAAAACATGTTAAGCCATATCCAGTCATATTGAAACATTCAGTCTTGTGTTTCATATGCCCAGTGGCAGATTCATGGCATGGACAAGTAATTATTCAGACTGAATAAATTTCGCCTTTGAAGAAGCATAGCTCATAGTGTGATGAAGTTGTTTCAAGGTATGTGATGCAAAGTGGCGAAAGGAATTTTCAAGTTGTAGCCCTCTCTCTCCAAATCTCTCTCCACATCTGCATCTTATCCAGATGGTTATGGGTTGAAGTGTTGTAATTTCAAAATACATCTAGTGCGTTTCAGTCACACACCCTGGTTCACGCTCCCATCGATGGCAAGGGATGTGCCTGTTTCTTTTCTGGGAGCCACGACCTCATTCATCCTTTAAGTTGCTGTGTCACAGGACTAGCACGTCACGGCGCAACAATCAGCCCTCACCGAGTACGTGAAAAACGTCATCTTTGTTCTCTCTGGCCAGCCTAATCCAGAATATAACTGTTTCTTTTAATGGTCAAAACAACTGGATTTGCCCGATTTCAGAAGAAGCATATTTCCAAGTTAAGGGTTCTGTAGAAGTACACTGTAAGTTGATTTTTTTTTTTAAAGTGAATAAAGGTTTAAGTGATTTAATCCTCATAAAGGGATATTTTGTGTATGTACACGCAGACACACAAGAGATACATAATGCCTGTATTTTCGTGTGTGTGAGAGTAAGATCAGTGGCAACCACAAAGTTTATATTAGAAACAGCACCCTAAAAATGGTATGGTTAGTTTGTGATTCGTATCTTAATTGGGATGTTATTGACTCCTAATATGAGATTAGCTTACAACTCAAAGTCCCTTTGATAATTCAAGAGATCAGTGGCGGGACACACACAAGGGATTCGTGTTGGAATCTGGCAACAAGAAATAAGTAAAGAAAAAGAATTGAGTTACCACCTGGCATTGTATCGGCAAGTCATAAAGGGAATTGGAAGTGGAGGTCGTTCCGCTGCTCTTTCCGGTCATATGACTTAACACAGAAAGACACACACTGATGTCCCAAACTGTCACCTCTTCTATGTATTAGGGAAAAGTGACCCCATTGCGAGTGGTGAATTTAGCTAACATTAATCTCTTAAGGATGTCATGTTTTATGTATTGTTTGGCCAGATTCTCCTCTTCAGTGGTTTCATGGCTTTTGGCTGTTACATATTTAATTTCTTTCCAGAGCCGGCCCAGCTCATTGCATTCAGGACACCTTCCCCAAATTATGTGTGAGTTATACCCCTTTTTTATTCTCCTTAGTTTTCCCCTTTCAATAATGCCAGGTTTCCTCAAATGAGAAATAATAACAGGCTGTTTTAAAAATGAGCTTTCACTTAGAAATTAACATAGAAATTTGAACTCCAGAATTGGCAGTTTATAGCAAAGACCTAAAAATTTTTCAAAGAAAGAGACTTAGCTTTCTTACAGCACACGAAGACTTTCATCAAAATGTGAAAATACAGTTATTAAAAGCCCAGGTGTGGTTTTGGTTTCCGATGGGATAAACCTCACCAGAAAATATTTGTTTTGAGCCGTGTTCACTGTCTAGCTCTCCTTGTTTAATTTTAACTTCACTCTTGTTGTTCAGTTGCCAAGTGGTGTCTGACTCTTTGCAACTCCATGGACTGCGGCACGCCAGGCTTCCCCGTCCCTCACTGTCTCCCGGAATTTGCCCAAGTTCATGTCCGTTGAATCAGTCATGTCACCCAACAGTCTCATCCTCGGTCACCCTCTGCCCCTTCTGCCTTCCATCTCCCGCAGTTTCAAACTTCACTGTAACTAGTAGCAAAAGATTTTCCAGATATTTCTAGATGTTAACACACTTACACAAGTTCTTTGCTGTTAGAAATCACATTTAAGTGCTCACAAATCTCCTAAAACTCTCCATAATAGATAATGGGGGCAGTAAATTATTGTTGAGTACAAGTGAAAAAAATTAAGAAGTTAGGACTACTTGTGTACCATTCGAATTGAATGGCCAAGGTTATGGAGTGCATGATTCATATTTTATTCATTTCGCATTTATATTCATATTAAATTGTGCATGACTTAAGTCTTCTAAATGTTTATCTTAAATGCTCTTGGAAGATGTGAGGTTTTCTGGAGTCTAATACATTGTGATAGTCATTGGTCAGTGGGTTGACATTTGGTTTCAACAGGAGCTGGTAAAGTTAAGGATTGGTTTCTTAAGTGTTAGGACTCTGCTCAGGGGCGGCGTTGGGGTGCGTGGTTTGGGAATGACGTCTCTGCAGGCATTGACCATGGGCAGCTGACCCTGGAACCTCACGGCAGCCTTAGAGGTGTCTCTTGGCCTCAGTGTAAACACCAGACTGTTGCTGAGAAACCACCGCTTCCTTCTGTGGTTTCCCCCATTTTCCTCCTCAAACCGTAAGTGTTGTGCTTGTGGTTTTAGGTAGGTCCTATGAAAATGCCACTTAGCGCTTGCAAAGCAGTGTTTTTTTGGTTCACCATCCATCATCTTCCAGAAAAGCCCAAGGAACTTGATGCTGTGGTTGAACCCCTGGTCCGATGTCCGCGTGACCTGGGCGTCTGTCACAGACATTCTTCATGTGAACCCCTCTCTCGTCTTTTGTCAGACGGGGAGAAGGCTCACTCCACTGTTACGCATTTGCTGTTCCACAGGGTTTATTCTGTGGCATTTCTGTTCCCATTTTGAGTTTTCAGACCTGGTTTTGAAGCTACACCTTGATCTCCTTTGGGGCGATGTTGACAACAGTGAGTCCTCTGGGTTTGCAGACCTGCACTGCAGCGGTTTTGAATCTGTCATTTATAAGGAATCCAAAACCTCACATGTATTTCTGAAAAACCACTTAGCAGTTGCAAAGCAGCGTTTTTTTGGTTCACCATCCATCATCTTCCAGAAAAGCCCAAGGAACTTGATGCTGTGGTTGAACCCCTGGTCCGATGTCCGCGTGACCTGGGCGTCTGTCACAGACATTCTTCATGTGAACCGCTCTCTCGTCTTTTGTCAGAGGGGGAGAAGGCTCACTCCACTGTTATGCATTTGCTGTTCCACAGGGTTTATTCTGTGGCATTTCTGTTCACATTTTGAGTTTTCAGACCTGGTTTTGAAGCTACAGCTTGATCTCCTTTGGGGCGATGTTGACAACAGTGAGTCCTCTGGGTTTGCAGACCTGCACTGCAGCGGTTTTGAATCTGTCATTTATAAGGAATCCAAAACCTCACATGTATTTCTGAAAACTGGCTCCAGGATGAGTCTGGTACTTGATGCTGAGCACAGCTATGAAAATTACATTTTGCTTCACCCTGGCTGCCGGGCTCAGTCTAAACATGCTCACTTTTTCTCAGACGTGTCCCGTATCTGACAGGCTAGGGGAACAGCTGAGATGACTGTCCTAACAAGGTATTTTATAGCCTCTGTGAAATGGAAGGAGTGTGAATGAAGCGATATCACATGCACTCATTTAATGCACAATCTGGTTGGGCTCTTTCTTACCAGAAAGAATATCTGTTTTCTAGCCTCGTTCCTGGAAATACGGTACGGCTTCCCCATCTGGAGAGAAACCAGAGGTCATGTATAATATTTACTTGTTCCAAGAAAAAAGAATTGGTAATCCTGTTGCCCTTGGTTTAAGTCAGCTCTGTTTTTGAGTTGCATGTCAGTCATATTGTCATTTTTCCCAGGTCACTTAGGCTTTTCGTGTTTCCTTGTAAGTCTGTTGCAAACGGCTGGGACCTTAAAGCGTCAGGAGGTGGGGCAGAGTGGGGTCAACAGGAAATTGACCGCACTTTTTCCTCCCCAGCGGGAAGCCGTCTTCGTGGCTTAGCCCTGGTTACCTGGGGCTTTCCCAGCGCAAGCAGGGCCTTCGGGCGTGTTGTTAAAGACGCTCTAACACGGCAGGGAAGGCCGGGCGGCGTGAATCCCTGGGTGGCTGTCCAGTGAAGGGGCCTGGGCCGTTAGACCAGGCTGCTAAGGTTCTCACTCACTGTCGTGCCTGCAGCACATCTGCAGCCTGTTTCCCCGGCCCCAGAAGGACGGGCCCCGGAAGCTCCCTGAGTGTTCTTTCCATTCACATTTTAGCCCCGATGAGGGGTTCTCCTGAAGCTGCAGTGCAGAAGAGGCCCTGGAGTGAGGTTGGAAGGCCGAGCCGGTCTCTGAGGCCGGGGGAGGGGGAGCATGTCTGTCCTCTTGCTCCAAGTCTCCTCTCCTGCAGACTGGTGACATCTGCCATCACTCTTTGTGAGAGACTGTTGACACCGTGTTGCTAAGACAGAGACAGGATGTTAAAAGCAACTGTGAATGTGCGATTCACATGGCTGGCGAGAGGGAGACTCCAGGGAGGGGGTCCAAGGGCAACTGATGAGTCCCCCCAAGCAAGCGGCCAGACCTCAGGCGCCTGGGGGCTGTGGCGCCCGCCTCTTCCTCCTCACCCGCGCCTCCCTGCCTCTCTCCTCGCTTCCAGCCCCTTCCTCTCCTTCCTTCCCCCCTCTTCCCTCTCCAGCCCTTGGAAACCCTTCCAGCCTGGCACTGCGTTGCATGCTTCCCACTCCAAGTGCATTTCGGGCTGCTGATGGGCTTGCAGAAAGCGCGCAGCACTTCTGCTTAAACAGGTGCTTTTACACCGAGTGTTAAACTTGGGGGACTGCACACGCTCACCCTGAGCCTCAGAGCTGGAGTGCGGAGACCTGGCGTCTTCCCCTGTCTCCCCGCCTCTCACTGGGGCTCCTCCCCACAGGCCGCCCGCCCTCCACCTTCCCAGGGGGGCACAGCGTCCTGGCCGCCTCCCTTCTCAGTGCCCACCGGCCTGCCCCTCCCCGCGGTGCCCCCACCCCGGTGCCCTATGCCCTCCTGCTGGGCCTGACCCCCTTTGCCTCTCTCTGGGCAGCAAAGCCCCTCCCCACACACCCGCCTCCCCTCTCCCTTCCGGGGGACCTGCTCTGAGGTCCCTGCATCCCTGGGACCAGGTGTGGGGTGCCCCCGCCTCCCCGTGTGTCTGCAGGACCCTGCTCTCTCCCGTGAGGGGCCTCGGACCACTGCAGTTCCTCATTTTCGCCTCCCGCTCGCTGAGATGCTCAACTCGGCCTTCTCAGCATCGCGGGGCGGGGCTGCCTGCCCTGCTCCAACGGTGAGGCGCAGCAGAAGCCTCCCAGCGGGTCGGGTCAGAGAGGCACACCAGGCGGGGGGCTGTGAAGGGGTGTGGACGCGCAAAGGCCGCTCCCCCCGACCCCGTCCCCCAGCCCCACTGGGGAAAGACCTGGAGCAGAATCAAGTGCCTGAGGGGCAGGGCCCGGACCAGGCCCGGCTGAGGGGCTGGACTCGGAGTCAGAGAGCCAGANCTCCTTGGGTTGGGGGACAGGCAGCTGAGAAAGGTGTCCAGCTTCCTGGGGAGTCACTGAGACTCAGAAGCCTCCTAAGGGAGGGCCCTTCTGAAGGTGGGGGTGTCCTCTCCGGACCCTTGCCCATCCCGGACAGTCAGTGATTCTGGGAGAACATTCTGTCCAAGGACTCTTCGGCTTAGTCCTTCAGGCCAGTGAGTCAGCAAGCACCAGGGACCCCACCCCCACCCCCAGTTCCCATCTCCAGGCGGCGTTCCCGCCCACAGGTCCCAGTGGAGACGCTCGCGGTCATCTGAGCCGCGGTCACGGGGCAGCTAGTCATGGTCCCGTCTGTGCGTGGGGTCCCCAGCGACCTGCGGGAGACAGGCGGAGCTGCCCGACACCCTCGGTTCACCCCCCTCCCCGGGCCGTGGGAGGAAGGGGCGAGGGGAGGGGAAGATGAGTCAAGCCACGTGGTCCGACGAGGGAAACTGGAGAGCCGGGCTGCTGTCACATGATGGAGGTCGGAGACTAGCACTCACCCGAGGGTGCTCATGAGGCTTGCGGGGAGCCCCCTGCCCGCCCCCCGACCGTGCAGACTCGGCTCTCAGTCTGACTGCAAGAGATGTTGCGGATCACAGTTCAGTTTGTTTCTCAGATGTTTCATGCTCATTTTTTTTTTTTTTTTGCCAAGAACATATCAAAACTTGGAGTTGTTTTCACATTTGAGCAGAAGTGTTTTGTGAGTCTCAAAGTAGTGGGGATATTCTGTTTCCATGTTTTCCATGATTAGAACAGAAATGTTATTTTACTGAACTAAATTCTTTTCTGTTGTATTAATGAGGAAAGTTATTTTCAGATCTTTGGAATCACATTCATCTTACATTTATCAAAACAAAATGCTGATGATAGAATCACCGTCAAGCAAATGCAGATGAAAGTGTGTGGACTGTGAGCTCCTTAGACATCCCTCACCCTTCCATCCACAGGTCCCAGCATATTTTTGGAGGTTCAAAAAATGCTGTGCAAATGCAGACTTTTAAAGTTATTATTATGCTTCAGCAGTTGGCCTAGAGTTTGTGTTCTATCTTGTTATTAGTTAGCTTTGTTTTCGTAAATGACTTTTTTGTTTGGGAAATTTAGAGAACACTGCATAATAGTAGCTTTAATAATGGGGTTTTCTTGTCTTTTACTTTAGTGGAATTCCTTCCCACTTGTTAATATTTTATTTAGTTTTTGTTTAATGTTTGTTACATGTAATTTTGCACCGTAGGATTTTGGTTCTTTTTTAACCGGAGTGGAGTGGATTTACGGCAGTTTCAGGTGTGTGGCACAGTGAGTCAGTCATGCATACATCCACTCTTTTAAGATTTTCAGGATAGAGTCTCTGTCCCCATGGGGGTCGTTGCCGAGTATTGAGTGGCGTGCCTGCTACCCAGCACGCTCCTGTTAGTTATCCTGTCGTGAATTTTTGAATCCTATGCACGAATTTTGGGGGGAGGGTTAGATTTTATTGATGAAACGTGTGAATCAGTAAAGGCCCAGCTCAGTGACTCTTAGGCTCCTCGGTCAGAAACCAGGTTGAGCCAGGACGTTTCCAGGGGCCCAGAAGCCCCTGGAGTCCCCTTCTCGTCACCTGTAGCCCCAAGGGCGAGCACACTGCAACTTCATTTGTTCCGCTTTGAACTTTATGTCATCAGAGCCTCCGGCTTCTTTCTTTTGTTCCTGGTTCCATGTTGCTCGGTACTAAGTCTTCGAGACCCATCCGTGTCATAGCCCACCAGCCTCAGTGGGTAAGGATTTCATTCCATGAGTCCAGACCACCACCATGTTTTAATTCTGCTATTTCCAGTTCTCCCTACTGGATAGAGTGTTGCAATGATCATTCTTGAGCATGCCTTCAAGAAAGACTTTATTAAAGCACAGCAAAGTGCAGACATTGTAAGTTTGCAGCTCAGTGAAGTTTTATACGTGTTACCGCTCACCCTGATCGAGCAGAGAATGTCCCAGCATCCGGAGACCTTTCTGGCAGTCCCTCCGAGGTCAGCAGGCTCCTGACTTTCGCTGTTGATGGCATCACTTGTTCTCGATCTTAATGCTGGGAGGTCACACAGGAGAGCGGGAGGTCTGCTCTCCTGCTGCAGTTCTTTTTTTAATCATGGCTTAAAATGGATGTGAGAGTTGGACTATAGAGAAAGCTGAGCACCGAAGAATTGATGCTTTTGAACTCTGGTGTTGGAGAAGACTCTTGAGAGTCCCTTGGACTGCAAGGAGATCCAACCAGTCCATCGTAAAGGAAATCAGTCCTGGGTGTTCATTGGAAGGACTGATGGTAAAGCTGAAACTCCAGTACTTTGGCCACCTGATTTGAAGAGCTGACTATCCCTTGGACTGCAAGGAGATCCAACCAGTCCATCGTAAAGGAAATCAGTCCTGGGTGTTCATTGGAAGGACTGATGCTAAAGCTGAAACTCCAGTACTTTGGCCACCTGATTTGAAGAGCTGACTCATTTAAAAAGACTCTGATGGTGGGAAAGATAGAGGGCAGGAGGAGAAGGGGACGACAGAGGATGCGATGGTTGGATGGCATCATCAACTCAATGGACATGGGTTTGGGTGGACTCCGGGAGTTGGTGGTGGACAGGGAGGCCTGGCGTGCTGCGGTTCATGACGTCGCAAAGAGTCGGACACGACTGAGCAACTGAACTGAACTGAAAAACTATTTTGTTGAAGAATGGTTGACTTACAATGCTGTGTTAATTTCTGCTACACAGCACAGTGATCCAACTATACATGTATTTATCTGTCTATATATACACACATATTCTTTTTCAGATTCTTTTCCATTATAGGTTATTTTAAGATTTTGAGTATAGTTCCCTGTGCTACATGGTAGGGCTTCATTGTTTTTCCATTCTGTATATAATAGTTTGCATTTGCTAACCCCAAACTCCTAGTCCATCCCTCTCCTCCTGTTGGAGAAGTTTCAAGATTCTTTTTCAGGTCACTCCTGTCTGGCCTGGAGGTCCGTGGAGGCATTGACAGCCATTTTGCAGAACCCCTTGGCAGTACACACACATTTAAAACAAGAATTACCAGAAATAGCATACTCTAGTTAAAATTACACACGGGGTGTGAGCTAGTACATACATATTAAAATCGCTCATATATACTCTCTGTTTCTTTATGATGTTTTAGTTTCCAAAAAGAGTGAGCTCATGGAGCTTTGAGGGGAGGGTGTTATATTTTATCCGCCATACTAACTTTTTGGGTATAATGAAACAGAGTTAAAAATAGTAGAATTGAAAAGGTCGAACTTCAGTGGCAGGTGGTAAAGGCAGATGCTGTGAAATGGTCTCAGTAATGACCAAGTATGATGCGGCTTTTGGTGACATCTGCCCACATACGTGTGGGGCAGGTGCCAAGAGTGAAATCTGGGGACAAGACCACGTGTGATGCTCAGCTGCAGCTGTCCGGTCACTAAGTCATGTCTGACTGCAGCCCCATGGACTGCAGCACGCCAGGCCTCCCTGTCCATCACTGTCTCCCAGAGCTTGCTCAAACTCACGTCCATTGAGTCAGTGATGCCATCCAACCATCTCACCCTCTGTCGTCCCCTTCTCCTCCTGCCCTCAATCTTTCCCAGCATCGGGGTCTTTCCTGAGTTGGCTTTTCACATCAATGGCCCAAGTATGGGGTCTTCAGCTTCAGCATCAGGCTTTCTGATGAATGTTCAGGGTTCATTTCCTTTAGGATGGACTGGTTTGACCTTGTTGTCCCAGGGCCGCCGCCTAATAGTGTTGCAGAAGGGTTGTTCTGCTGGACAGCTCCCCCTGGAGGCGGGGTCTGGAAGCTCCACTTTGATTTGTACCCGCTTTTCAATTTCCGCCCCAGTGGCCCTGAAACATACTCCCGAGTCTTTGCGTGTTTCTTTAGCGGAGTAGATGATTATGCACGAGATTCTCCGAAGGAGGGCTATCACCAGGAAGAAAACGGGGCTCGTCCCATCACCACAAAGCTATTCTGACATTTTGCACAGCGCAGAGAATGTGAAAAGGAATTTGAAAGATAAGCTGTTTAGACTTGGCCGAGATCCACTTGTCCCTATTTGGTGGGATGTGAAACACATAAAAATTGTTACAGTGGGGTTGGTAAAGGGCTATCTCCCATCAGAAGCAGGGAAAGAACCACAGAAAATTGAGGACTTCACTCTGTTTAACTCATTTCAGACTTGCTTCCCTATGGAAAATATGTCACAGTTAACAAATTACCTTGATTGGGTATTCTCTCTTTTTCTCACCCACGGAGACACACATATACACACACAATAGTGTGGCAGCTGGCTTCCTTGCTTAGGTAAAAAGTCTCTCTAAATGGAATTAGCAAGCCTAGAACCGCTTTTGGTCAGCCTGCAGGCCAGAGAAAGAGCGGAAATTGAGTTTATTTTGAATGAGAGTCTCTGACCCCCCTCACCCCTCTTCCTTCTTTGGCGGGCGTACTGTGTGTCGTAAATCTTTGGGAATTTTTAGAACTTAGCATACTTTATAGCATTAATTCTGATGATTTGACTTTCTGGGAAGTCTTAATTGGGGCATGAAAGAAAATGTGCATTCCATTCACTGAGCTGTCCTCTGGTGAAGAGTGCAGAGAGCCTCGTATGGAATATAGAAGCACCCCGCTGACATTGTTCCTCGCCATTCCTTTCCAGTTGTGCTATGTGTGATGTTTAGGCTTGACCCCTGCCGTCAGGGTGTGTGTGTCTGACAGACTTCACTGAGAGCTGCTGTCGTCTTTTCTTCTCTTTCAGATAGTGTTAATTCAGGTTGGCTTCCACTTGGACGGAATTTGTTATGCTCTTGTGGTGAACTGCTGGCCATCAAGATTGGCTTGGTTTTCACTGAGTTATTCTGCAGCCTTAGGGATTCAAATGGTGGTTCTTTTGCCCCTGAGGACTTTGCAGGCTTCTCTTACCCTCACGTAGTCTGAGTGACCTGTGTTGCTGTGTGCCATGGATGCGCTCCGTCTAAGGGCTGGCCAGAAAGCTCGACTGGGTTTTCCCATGACATCTTTTTTGCCACCCCAATAAGACACGGACCAAGACCCACAGCGCTGTGATCTTTGAGATCTTCAGCCATGTCCCCCATTTCCAGGGGGAGACAGCCTTCCTGACCAGCCTGGTCAGCCGGGACTGTAGGTTCAGCATGTATGTCTCCCCAGGGAGAAGGTACAGGCCTCCTCGGGGGACTGGGGGCTGGTTTGCTTGACCTCGAACCCCGTCGAGGGGCCAGGCAAGAGGGGTGGGTGTGAGCGCGTCAGAGAGTACAAGTTCTTCCTGTTCCAGAAACTGAAGCACGTGGGCAGGGAGCTTGCTGCTCAGAGCCCAGCATCTTCCAGACCTCAGGAAAAATGAGCAGGCCTTGTCCACCCCCTCAGATGTGCGGCAAGGGAGCTGCTGGAGCCAGCGGGGAGTGGAGGGGTGGGGGGAACGGGGCGGACGGCCGCTGGAGCCAGTGGGGCCGCCTTGTCTCTTTTGATTCTGCGGAGAGGTCCAGACACAGAATGTAATTCCCCAGGAAGTCATGAAGCTTGTGACACGGCCTTTAGCATGTTAGGTCCCCAACCAAATTGTGACTCTGAGTAACTCATGCCATTTTTTCGTTCGCCCTTTTGAACAGTGATTCAGGATGGAGGGTTGAGACTCTCACTACTGCGGGCTTTTATTTAATGAGCTATTGCAAAATCAGACAGTCTGGCAGATTGAAGGGATGCTCAGCACGTCACTGATGCCCTTTTCAGCCAGGCACCCTCGAGTCACAGCTGAAATGACTCTACGTGCCAGGGTGAGATCCAGCGTAGGTCATTGTATTGGCCAGAACAGCAGTATTTCAAAGTAGATTTTATTTAGCAAAGTAAATGTGTCTCTCATGATCTCTGTTTGTTATTCTAAAAATTAGTTTTTTTTTTTAAAGAGCCATTGTGCATAAAATGCTAGGCCACCCAGATTGTGAAGCAAAAATCATGGTCTAAAAATGTCTTTTGTTCTGAAAAGTTGCCCATCGTTTAGATGTTCTTTGAATTATCAATGCTTCAGGATTGTCTTCTAGGGCCAGAAGTGGTAATAAAATTTTCTACGTGAATAAAGCAGATAAGGAGACATGAATGTCTTTTGTCTGGGATTGAGAAATTTTGTTTTTGCTTGATGTAAGCTGGTGGGAGCAGGGTGAAGGTCCTTTATTTCTGTAAGAGGGCTATAATGAGATTTTAGTTCTTTTTCTCATCTCTGATTTCATCTAATAGTTGTCATGACCTGGAGTGTTGTTCAAGGGAAATTTGCGGGTGTGTTTCTGCAGCAAAAGCTCAAGAAACAACTTGACCTCAGCATCCAGCTTGGGGGCCCTCTAACCTCTTATCTGGCGTCCCCCGCAATTAAGGCATTTGCTGATAGCTTAAGGGAACAGTTCCAGGAAACTCACTTTTATAACCTTCCTCAAATTGAATAAAGGTAAGCTTCTGAGATTTTATCAGCCTTTCAGGAGAGGAAACCTCAGAATCACCAAATGGCCATTTTCAACTTCGGTCGCTAGATTCCCACCTGGTCTGGTTTTGAGGCCGCTGTTGTCAAGCTGCGGTTAGGAAACTGCACCCCGCTGGGCTGCTCTTGGGCCCCCCAGTGAACCTGGGCGGTGGGTGGACAGGTCCTCAGTCCATGGGTCTTAACCTGATCGGCTTCTCCTTCTGGGGAACTGAGCAGAGTTCAAGGAGCACGTGTGGGTTTCTGAGCCCACCTCAGAGGCAGAGACCTGGTGGGGAGGAGACGTCACAGAGAGGAGGCCACCTGGAGCCCAGCTGACCCGGAGCTGCCTCACCTGTGGGGCTTGCCTGGCTGGGGGCTAACCCAGCAGCTCTGCGCAGTGCCCGGGGGCCCCTGCGAACTCCGCTCTCCCTGGCTGTCTGGGGATCTGGAGCGGTCCCCCACTCACTGCCGAGTTCCTTTCTGCAGTGGTTTCTCGCGGTGCGGTCCCTGCATTGTGAGCGGACACACCAGACTCGCAGGGTTGTCATCTGGGGTTGTTATTTGAGGTCGATTCAATGGACGCCAGCATCACCGCCACCACCATCGAAGCAACAGTGGTCAGACGCCTGCTTCTCTGTCTCAGGAGACTGTGTGTCCGTGCTTAAATGCCTCCGGGGTTGGCGCAGAGCCAGCAGTTGGCGGGGTGTTGTGGTTTGGTCAGCGGTGCGTTTTACAGCCAACGTGGCTGCAGGTGAAATATGGACTGTATTAGGCTGGGTGTGACTCTCTGGGCCCGCCCTCCAAGTGTTCTCAGGGTCCTGGAGACACACACGCCAAGGATAAATGTCACACACGTGATAAATGTCACAGTGTTGTTCAGTCGCTGAGTCGTGTCCCACCCTCTGCGACCCCATGGACTACAGCACTCCAGGCCTCCCTGTCTTCCACCATCTCCCAGAGCCTGCTCAAACCCATGTCCATCGAGTTGGTGATGCCATCCAACCATCTCATCCTCTGTTGTCCCCTTCTCCTCCTGCCTCAATCTTTCCCAGCATCGGGGTCTTTTCCTGTGAGTCGGCTCTTGCATCGTGTGGCCAGAGTGTTGGAGCTTCAGCCTCGGCCTGTCACAACAGAGTGGTGTGGTCCGCATGTCATGGGCACGGGGTCAGAACAGTGAGCCCTTTCTTGGGGATGGTTGGGAAGGCTCTTTTTTGCAGTCCCTTGGTTCTTTAATGTTTGTGCATTTCGGATGAATTTTTGGAGCATGGGTTTCAGGTTTTAGCCTCATCTCTTTGGACAGCTGTAAGTGGTCACTCAAACGCAGATTCTGAAGCAAAACTGTGTGCGTGGATTGATGTACACTGTTAGGAGGTTATGGGAGTGCGTGCTGAAAAAATTGCCTGAAAGATNTGCAGTCCCTTGGTTCTTTAATGTTTGTGCATTTCGGATGAATTTTTGGAGCATGGGTTTCAGGTTTTAGCCTCATCTCTTTGGACAGCTGTAAGTGGTCACTCAAACCCAGATTCTGAAGCAAAACTGTGTGCGTGGATTGATGTACACTGTTAGGAGGTTATGGGAGTGCGTGCTGAAAAAATTGCCTGAAAGATGAATCAGGGAGGGGGATGGATTTGTAGTGTCTGGAGTCTGTTTGGACTGTTGTCAGTTGTCCCCATTTCCAAAATATAAAATTAAGAACAGCTTACTGTCTTGGAGGCACTTGTTCAGATTTCATTTTATAAAATAAATATCTCCAGATGTAGTTGTTTTATGAAGAAGATTTCCAAGGCATTGGAACCAAGACGAGTGTGTTGTTTTTAAAAAATAGGCTTTATGCAATCACAATCCTGTTAACAGTATGGTTATATTTTCCAGAAGCTATAGTGCCAGAAGCAGCATTGAGGTGTGCACTTGATCTCAGGCTTAATATTGAGCTGCTCGCAAAGCTCATTAACTAAATTCTGCCTATTTCACCCTCTTCCATTCTGTCCACAATATCTATGTCTCTTCTGGTTTCGAATTTGAATTCTTCTAAAGAAACTGCATCATCTGCCTTCTGATGCGTTGGCAGTTTTCCGTGATGGGAATTGAACTGAGTTCATCTCAACCTTGTCCCGGCTGTTATATTAAATCTCCTAACTCAGAGTCACATCTATAAAGTGGGAATGGTAATACGCGTCCTGTTAGATAGGAATTAAAATTCTGTTATTTAGGCTCTGGGCTTATTCATTTCCTTTTTGCTTGTTTTGCGTGTCATTGTGTCCTGGGGATGCGAGGGACACAGCGTGGACCCCACTCCCCACTCTGAGTTTCCTGTGGTCTCAGGGCTGAAAGTCCTGCATCAGAAGGGCGTTTGCAAGAAGGGGTGGTGTCCTGCTAAACTTGGGAAACGGAGAGAGTCCATGTCTCAGAGTGTCAGTGACAGCCTCCCCTCTTTGGACTGAGTGATGCTTTGATGTGTTCCACTCGGGGATTGCTGTTCTGTTTGCCAGGGCCAGAGATGGATTCTGAGCAAGTGCAGGACGCCCCCGAGGACAAGGCCACAGAGTGTGTGTGTTAAGATCGGGCTCCTGGTACCCGGGTTTTTCCCATAAATAGTGAAGGTGCCAAAAGCATTTCGGTTGAAACCTGCACCTCCGTGCTTGGGTGTTCCTCTGTTTAAAGCTCTTTTCTCTTCCTTCCAGGGTGGGTGTGCCGGCTCTGGCTGCGGGAAGTGTGACTGCCACGGCGTGAAAGGACAAAAGGTGAGTAGCCCTCCAAGGCCAGCAATCCCTCGGGTCACCGTCACTGTGGAAGTCATGACTTTAGAGCAACCGAACAACCAGCAAGTCATGCTGAAGCCTTATTACCATTTCAGGCATTTCCCCAGCGCAATACAAATGAAGCAAAACCAGGCTCAACAATATTTTTGAGGCATCTTGACTGCTCCTCCCCAGAGCTTGTAATTATTGGTGGCAGTTAATGCTAAAAAAGCGATTTGGTTTCTTTCCTTTTTTGACTCTAGGAGGAACAAGTGTATTGGCAGAAAATCCGTTGAGTCAATAGCATTCTTTGGAATTAGTGCACGAGGACTAAACTTAGCTTTTTTTTTTTTCTGAAAAAAAAAAAAAAAGTTGCTCTTGAACTTGAGAGCCTTCTATTCAAATCAGAATTTTTAAACAGTTTTGCATTCGTAACATACTTGTCTAAGATTTATTTACAGAAACAGTAACTATTTATCATTTCCCAAATGTACAGTTACAGTATTTTTTTCTAAGCAATGCTCTGCCCTCTCACTTTAAGAATCAAAAATCTGTATGAAGATCATTTTCTGTTGAAGGCAGGCTGGGTCTATGCCTTTCAGTTGTTTGGAGAGAGGATTTTCACCCCAGGACAGGGCAGCATCCTGTCACTGTGTGGGGGTCACCATGGAAACTGGGCGGAACCATGGGAAAGCATGGCCGCTGGGCCACAGCAGCTGACGCCACGTGGAAGGGCTGGGGGAGGCCCCCGGTCCTTTCCCCGCTTTCTGGAAGCTGGAGGTATCGTTCGGGCAAGCTGTCCCTTCTGGTCTGCGCAGGGCTCACTGAATCACAGGCTCACACTTCTGAAATCCAGCAAGTTCTACTTTACAGAAAATTGTCCCATTTCTTTTCAGCCGTTTGCTGATGTACCAGCATCATCCTTTTAAAATGTCTGTTGGCAGGTGGTGCCACCATGGTCACCTGGGCAGGTTTTGGGTCAGTGAAGCATATGGAAGCATTTTCCTGTCTTCCAGCACCCGCTTTCCCCTCTGTCATCCCTCTTCTCCTCCTCGGGAAGTGTCTCTAGCTAGTTCCAGGCTGCATCCTCGAGAGTAACGGCAAGATGTTCGTGTCACAAAGACTCTTTCTGTGTGTGTGTCTAACTTGATTGTAAGCACGCTGAGCTAACAAAGAAATCCTTCAAACTATAGAAAGTGGAACTTTCAACAAATAGGAAATGGAGACCTTTATCAGCATCACTGTGCTTTTCTTGTAACTTAGAGCGTCAGAATTGGGGGAGGGAGAGGTGGAGTTGGTGTTTCTCGCTTGTGAAGAGAACGTGTCTTTTCCACCCGCTTTCTCAGTTTTCATTCTCTGCCCTCAACTGCAAACCCTGGTGGCATTCCCTCAGGCCCTGGTGCTTTTCAGACATCCTATTCCGGTCTTATTTTTCGCGCCTGATTCATTTTACTTTTAACCCCAAATCTCCCCCTTACATGAGGAAGTGGATTCATTATATTCATTAAATATGAGGAAGTAGGTTCATCCAGGTGCGGCTTTCCAAATATGTTTGGCCGACTTCTTCCTGACTTGACGGGGGCCTGGCCCTCGTCGGTTCAGAGCTGGTGAAAGCATCTTCAGAGAAGGCAGGCCGCGTCTCGGGGTGTCTGACACCACCCCGACGAGGAAAGGGGCTGTAAGTGTTTCTTTTCACATCCAAGTGTGTGGAAGCCCTTGATCTGGCCGTTGCATCAGTGGAGGCCAGGTCTGTGCGTCTCCAGGCCCAGAAACACACAGTGTAGGCCTGCCTTCCACTCAGGCGTGGGAAGGTCAAGGTGGGAAGGTCACGGGGTTGCCATGCTGCTTCAACAGGCTCCTCCATCGTCCACTTTGGGTTTTAGACCTTATTATTATTATTCAGTAAAGACTGTTTAAATAAAAAACTGCCAAGCGGTGGGTTAAACCATCCTGAATTTGTGTTTTAAAAGGCTGTAATGATTGAATGGATTCAGACAGCCTCTTGAGATTTAGAGGAACAGCTAACTGATTTAGGATTATATCCTTTAAACAGAAATCGGAGCTCTGTCTTTTCTCCCCTTGAGTGTAAATATTTCAGGTCCCATGGTTCACATAGCATGAGCCGGGAAGAGGGCCTTCTTCTCGCTGAAAGAGGAAATTTTAAACTTCCACTTATTGTCTTGGACGTGATGTTAAAATAATCAGTTTAACGATGGGAAACACCCAGAGCTTGCCTGAGCCGGACCTTCAGATCTGGTTCCATTTCTCTCATCCCAAGGTCAGATAACAAAGAAATGTATTCTTGGCTGGCACGTCAGCAGGAGGAATTGGTCTTCCTCATCTCCCACCGCTGTTCTCAGAGCCAGTCCTATATGTGCTGATCGGATGTAAATGCAAAATGAATAAAGGCTTGAGCATCGCAGGATTTGCCTCGAGCGGCTCAACCCGCAGACCTGCTTTTGAGCTACGGATGCCTGTTCTCGGTTCTCATGGGGGCTGTGTTGTTGTTCTCCAGGGTCTAAACGTAAATGACCTTTGAGGCGTTTTTGAAAATAGGATGAAAAATGTCACATACCTCGGGGGGAGTAAACGTTACCTGAATGGGACAGTGTCAACTCATTGTTTCTGAGACATGCCCCCTTGAGGGACTCTTGAACATATTGGTTATTGAGAATCCACCAGTGGAAATTGGAATATGTCCAGTGTAAATCACCAAATCTCTTTTGGCAAAGTCCTGAGTTCCATGGAGATGAGATTCCTTGACAGAATGTCTGATATCCCCCAGATTTCCTCAGCAGATACTGATGCCTTAGGTCACCGCTTTCTAATCTGACAGTTATCAGTGTAGGCTAGGGATCTGTTCCGAGCTTAGATTCATGAGCTTGTCACAGATTTCAGTCTTTGCTGACTTGTTTGTTTCCCAACGCCCAGATGTTTTCTCTAGGTAATTGATCTGGGTTTGTACACAGTGACTTTCCAGAGGCCTCTGCAGTGTGGGAATTTTATCTCCTTAAACTGATTAGGGTTTTGAATGCTTGCCTCCTCAACACAAGCCAAAAGTTAAGCTCTTCTTTTGCTCTATAACCTCATTTTCTCAACTATTCGAGGCATTGGAAGAGGCAACATAGTCCCAGGAGTGACTGCCTTGGTCTTGGAAACTAACCGTTTATACTTTGCAAAAAGAATGGAGTTTGCACAAGAAGTCTTACGAATGTTTTAGCCAGAGGAGCCTGAATTTATGTAAAGCTATCATCCTATCCTGCAGAGTCCAAACTGGAAGCCTCAAGTTGACTAGAGAGGTGGAGATATACATGTGAAATAGATCACAATTGAAGAGTAAGTGATCACACTGCAGGAGAAACAGCAGAGAAAACAAATACTCTCCTTGTCCTGAGAAGGGAGTGATCCCAGCGTCTTAGGACTGTAAATGAAGAGACGGCTTCCTGGATGAAGCAGGATGCAGGTGTGTTGTGTCCTCACTGATGCTCCAGACTCACCGGGATGTGGAGCAGGACCATCTGTCATGCGTCTGCCTAAAGTCCCGTGCTGAGTTTGACTGCACTGATCAGAGAAAGCAACCCCCGTGGCCTGTTGATGAACATGACCTTGGCAGAGGATGGATGGCTCCTAATAGAGAGACTTTGACAGGGGCTTCCCCAGGCCACAGTCTTGGGGAGCACAGAGAGTCTTAATTAAGCAGAACTATCATATTTTTGAGGAGTGATGAGAACAGTATGGTCATCTCACAGCTTCTCAGAATACTTTAACCTGCTGGTACTCAGGTCCTTGCCAGCAATGTGGGAAGGGAGCCTGGTTCAGTTCAGTCACTCAGTTGTGTCTGACTCTTTGTGACCCCATGGACTGCAGCACACCAGGCCTCCCTGTCCATCACCAACTCCCGGAGCTTACTCAGACTCATGTCTGTTGAGTTGGTGATGCTATCCAACCATCTCATCCTCTTCATCCCCTTCTCCTCCTGCCTTCAACCTTTCCCAGCATCAGGGTCTTTTCCAATGAGTCAGTTCTTCTCATCAGGTGGCCAAGGTATTGGAGCTTCAGCTTCAGCACTGGTGCTTCTGAATAGTCAGGACTGATTTCCTTTAGGATGGACTGGTTGTATCTCCTCACTGTCCAGGGGACTCTCAAGAGTCTCCTCTAACGCCACAGTGCAAAAGCATCAATTCTTCTGTGCTCAGCTTTCTTCACAGTCCAACTCTCACATCCATACCTGACCACTGGGAAAATCATAGTTTTGACTAGACGGACTTTTGTGCAGGACTCAGCCTGAACTGAAAGCCCCTGGGCTAGGGAGTAGGATGCAGGTGATCAGATTCAAGTGCTAATCAGAGCACGAATCAATTTCCATTCAAGGTAAGACAATCCTGACCTGCGAGGGCCCAGCAAGAGGACCTCGTGGTTCAGAATATTCTGGAGTCTTGACCACCATCCCATTGCTCTAAGACTGAATCTGTGGTCTGTAAGCTTGCTCCGCTGGCTGCCTGCCAAGGAAAGCAGACCTCCTGAAGCCTCTCTGTAAATCGGTGGTGACGAAGCAGATTGCTGAGGACCACAAAGAAATGGACCTGGTGCCTTGGGGCCATGGGCAGATCTCCTGGGTCTTGTTCATAGACAAATAACCACAGGGAGCCACCTTGTCTGCCCAAGTCCGAGCCCCACCCCAATCTGAGGCAGCTTAGATGCGGTCCAGCCCAGGAAACCAGGATTGCATCACCTTCGGGGGATGTTTATTCCACACAGCATTCAGAATAAAACCTAGAGGTGAGGGCAGTGAAGTGAGCCTCTTAACCCCGAGTCAGGAGATGCCATTGTCCCTACGTGGTGAGGATGGGGCCTCCCCGGCCCCTTCCTGCAGGAAATCCTGGCATATTCTTTGCCCTCTAGGAAATTCGTCACTCAGGTTTACAAGGAGTCATCTTTGTTACAAGCCGGGCATGACGCCTTGGTCTCCCAAGAGGCGAATCTGGCCCTAGTTCTCATGCATT